AAACGCGTACTTGCATTCCCATGTAAATCATTGGAATTTTCAATTAAACTACAAAGAGGAGAAATATCGTATCTTTCTGGTATAAAATTTGGAGAAAAATTTTTTTTACCGAACAATTGTATGAGTCGATAATATAGAATCTGATTTTAATCCTGTTGTCTGATTTGAAAATAGTTTACTTCTTGTATTTACAAATGCATAGGCACCGTCTTGTAGTCGAAAACGATATACGGGACTTTTTGCTTCACCTTTTTCAATTACTGAAATAAAAAGGAAGGTAAGACCAATAGAGTACAACAAGATTCTTGTGGTTTATGACCAAAATTCAATCTATAAACTACACATACCATCTTGAAAATGCCGTACTACATGGGCTACATCATTCACATGCACATAATCTTTGAAGTTCTTCCCATGATAATCTTGATTTATTTTTTCACATTTCATATGACTAAAAATAAGATAAACGAATATAATTGTACTCAATAATCTTTTTTTTCTTCTTTAAATAGGCTACCTGCAATCAAAACATTGTATATCAAAATTAAGATTAATACGTGACGAAAATTGATCTAAACCCAGTATGGCTGGTTTATCATATTTTTCTAATGGTCTTCTTGCTATACATGCCAAACATAATCGATCAGTACCTTAAATATATATTCATCATTCTTTTTGTGTAAACTAAAGCCATGTATAACTTACCGGATGAATCGTGATGTAAAGCAACAGAAACAAGCATATTAACATAAGTTGTTCGGTTATTTGCCGACTGTTCAGATGACTCTTTTGGATCTAAAAGAAGAGTAATTAAGAAACCGTTTGACAACTAAGTAAAATATTTTACCATCATTTGCTCTTATACGACAAAGAAATGTTTTACCACGTGATTGATTTTCGTTATTATTTTCGCTCTTATCATCTCCTTAAATATAATTATTAAATTTTACCGTCATACCAAGCTGTCATTTACAATAATATCATACCTGCACATTTTTCTGATGTTCTCCATGCTTTGCTAAATTCACTAACATCACTTGGATGTACACAATGAAAAAGACTACGACCAACTAATTCTTCCTACATAAAATAATCATAATAATAAATGTTTTGTAGAGATCTGTTCAAATAATCGATAATTATCTGATATAAAGTTACCTGAGTAAATTTTAGATATTGTACAACATTGTCACTTACAAAATCAATTTCAGAATTATGATTAATTGTGAAAAAAAATCCATCGAGCGCCTAAAACAAGAATAACATAACAGTACTACAACAATTAAGACTACCTTGAAGACAATTGAGATGCATATAAATTTCAACACTGTTGCGATCTACTTATTAGCAACCATTTAAGTGGAAGAAAGAATACTCAGAACACATTTTTTTTTACACTAATTTTTTTATAATTACTAGTAAAATAAAATTCATTTTATTTTTCTATTTTTCATAATGCAAAAGTTAAAGGTTCATGTACAAATGTCTGATTAATTGGTCATAATAATATTACCAGATTTGTTTTTTCGATATATATATGTTGGCTGACAAGT